TCATCAAGACTTTGGTGTTCCAGTGCCCACCGACGGTTTGGTTGGGAGTAGCGTTACTCAGACCATAAATTGACACTTCCATTTACTTTCAAATGATCTTGTTGATAGAATCATAAATACCACTCGTGAACACCAAGATTCCTTTAGGGTTGTTGCCATCAAGAAAACTCGGGTAGTGCAGGACATGGTGCTGATTGCAAGAAAAAGAGAAAATAATAGAGTACAAATTAATCAGAACACAGGTTGCTCGGTGTATGTCTCTGTCTGTTGGTATGTCTCCTGAACGACATATTCCTCAACAGGTGCAGGGGCAACAGGAATGGCAGGTTCGCGCTGCTCCGAAGAGGGCTCGTTCACAACTTTCTCGACGGGTGGTTCAAGGATCTGGACGGAGTCTGGGAGGGGCTTGCGAGGACCAAGCTGGCCTTCAGGATCCCAACCTTTCATACTGATTGAAACGTAAATACACTCCTCCAGAAATACGGACATCATCACTCACATTTTGACTTTGATACCAAGAACACCCTGGCGCAGGAGGACGTGACGGACAGCATAATCAACGAAGTCACGAGCAGGTTGACCAGAGTGAATCATGAAGCCATCAGTGAACTTCATGGATTTAGCACGGGCAGCACGAAGCTTGCCAGAAACGACAACTTCGCAACCCTTTGCACCGGACTCCATAACGAAACGTAAAACACCATAGCAGGCGCTAGATCAAAAGTATTAGTCCCTTTTCCTCCATGCAGGATATAGCCTAGGACATACCGACGGACGGCAAGACCGCCAAGGAGCTTGTACCTCAAGCTCTCGCACTGAGCAATGGCAGACAGTCCACGGTATTGTACCTTCTCGGCGTAGAGTTCGAGAGAGTTTTCCGGGAATTTGAAGCGTTTTTGAACGAGAGCGGTTAATTCACGAATACGACGGCCTTCTCTCCGAGGACCTCTTGAGTGTGTGTCGCCCGGATAATGATCTAGTTGGGTGATAATTTAGAAATTTTGAGGCAAAATTACACAGTTGGGCGAACCTCAGTACGGGCATGGGTTACACGGACATCGCAACCAGAGTAGCCCTCTTCAGCAAGCTCGCGGGTGAAGAACTCATTGAGTTCAGCACGGAAGACACCATCGGCTACGAACTTTCTCTTCTTGGAAATTTGGGCAGACATTTTTTTTTACAATGGCGCTGATGACGATAGACAATGTCAAAAATGCGTCCAGCGATATGTAGGCAAAAATTCTTACCTTGAGCTTGCTGGGGGGAGTGTCGAGGACGGTGGCGATCACAGCTGCCCAATCAGATTGTGTGGCTTGATAGCTACACAGTTTTTACTCGCTTATTGCCGGGCACGTGATTTAGAGCACTTATATAAAGAACTTCCCGTGCACTCTTTCCTTCTCTTCACTTTACGAACGAGCAATGCTCAGCGTGATGCATTCCTCAACTTTCTAGGTGAGCCTTTCATTTGATTGGATTCTTTGGTTTTTCTGTTTCTATGACGAGTGTTGTATTTTTTCAACCTTTGGCACCTCTTAGTCGATTTGTCTCCCTATACTTCGTATGGGCGAGCCAATGACATGGATGACGTTCTGAGGACACTTTTTCTTTTCTTACTCTATCATTTAGTCGCATAGCTAAAATTTCTTCCACAGATATTGTGCCTCTTCCTCTCTATTTCTCTCGAAGAAGTTGCTGGGACTTGTCTCCATTCTACTGTTATCTTGCCATATTCTCTACTAAATACAATACACAACAAATGCTATAAACTTCTCGTCAATCAATGTATGACCTCGTTGACGAAGATTCCGGCTGCTCCCATTCCACTGCCAATACACATACTGGTACATAATATGTGGCCGTTCCTTCTCTTCAGTTCCGCAAGGCCAGTTACAACCTGACGAATGCCAGCTACGCTTGGACGTCAAGCTAAACCCATCTCGTAAGAGGAAGAAACTTACTCATGGCCAATGGATGAGATATGGCAATTGCTCCGCCGCTGTTGGATGTCTTCAGGTCAGTATGCATGGTGCAAGTCGCTAAGAATGCTTACTTTGGGTTGATTCTGTCGATCGAAATTCCGAGTTCCTCTATGCAGTAGGCAAATTGCGAGGCGAACGCCTCGTTAATCTACAAGACATCAGTAAAGCTTGTTTCATGCAACGTTATTTTAACCTACTTCGTAGACGTCAACATCTTCTTTAGTCAGTCCGGCTTGCTCAAGGACCTTCGGGATAGCATAGATGGGAGAAATGCCCATGTATCGAGGTTCCACACCTACGAAAAACAAGCAGCAAATCTCTCAGCAGCAAATCTCTACATTAACAAGGAGGACAAACTGACCAACAACTGCAGAGGTGATATATTTCCCTAGAATCTCCATGCCCTCTTCCTCTGCGCGTGCACGAGTGGTCAGAATGCAGAGGCCAGCTCCGTCACCTGTCCCGCTGGCATTTCCAGCAGTGGTACTTCCTTCTCCCCATTGGGGGAAGGCTGGTTTCAAAGCAGCCAAGCCTTCTCTGGTTACACCTGGCCTGACAGTATCATCAACTGACAGTATGGTACCTCTGAGTTCTACGGGTAGAATCTCATCAGCAAAGACTCCCTCAGAGACGGCCTAGAAGAATTAAAATGGCTCCCTAAGTCTGTCCACAGCAAGCTGCAGAATGGAAGAGGGCTGACCTTTGCTGCTCTGGAGTGTGAGATATACGCGTAGTCATCCTGCACGCTGCGAGGTATTTTATAAGTCTGTGCAACCATTTCTGAAGTCCAGCCCATAGGCTAAAGAAAACAATTTCAATTTGAGCAATACCGTCATGCATGCAAAATGAATATACTACCTGCAGGCAGTCATTGGCATGTGGATGTTCAGCGACAGCCGGTACTACCTCGGGAGTTGGTCTGGGGCTATAATGAATGTTGCGTTCAGTATCAGTCAAAATAACACCAGGGCTTATACTTTAGGCTCATGCTTTCTGCACCGACTGCAAGACCGAGAGAGGTCTCTCCAACTTGTATGGCATGAGCGATATTGCGAATGGCCATCAAGCCCGAAGAGCAAAGTCTGTTCACAGTTGAAATTGGAACGGTGTGTGGAATGCCGGCTGCAATCGCTGCCGCCCTTGATATGTAAAGTGGACTCGGAGGATGACAGGTAGCTAGAGCGAACAATCAGACATGTCAATTTAGAACGCAAGAGAGGTACATGCCTACGCAAATGTCGTCGATCTTGGAGGCGTCCAGCCCAGTCTTCTCAAGTGTGGCCTATAGAGGGATGCGTGCTGAGAACCGAAAGGAAAGAGACAGGTATTCATGAACAAGAACCTTGAAGAGTGCGTGCAGGAGCTCGTCGACAGGGGTGTCCTTGAGTTGACCCCGCCTAGCCTTTCCAATAGCAGTACGTTTCGCAAATGTTATGACGACATCGTCTGGTCTCTTCTCCAGAATGTCACTAGGACTGTGGTATCGCGTCGCGGAACTAGCAGCCCGAGTCAATGTGGGGTAGGCGGCACGTCTCAGAGCAGAGGGCAACATGATAGAGACGTTGAAGAAGATAGCAAGGGAAGGAATGAAGGGAAAATGACATTACGCGAGCTGAGAATGTTCAAGTATAAGTAGGTCTTTGCGTTGTTCACATGGGAATAAAGGTGCAAGTTGAGCGAAGGCCGCGGACGGAGATCCGGTTCAGCAACAATCCCTGACATTCACAAGTGATGCAGCATATTAGATTAATTTACATATATTCTTGTCTATAGCTCTTCCAACAGACAATATCTTGTACTGATGATCCCCTGAAGAAGATTTTGGGTAGAAGTTGGCGTCACGGTGCTGGGAGATTTCTGGCGATAGAACAACGCGCGATTGACTCGTTACGACAGGTCGGGGATTTCGCTTTCATCGCTGGCTTTATTCTTTGCCTTCCATTGGCGCGTAACAGCACTGTAGCAGTTCGGGCAAATGTGGTGGGCCAATTTAACTGCACCGCAACCGGCACAATTGGTGATATCTGTAAAGGAGCAAGCCATACATGAGCGTCTGCCTTTCTGACAACCACATGGAGAACGCACTTCTCTTATCCTTGAGGCCCTTGTTTGCACTTCGCATGGCTTTCCGAGAATGAGATGTTTTTGATTTGGGTACGGCCAAGAGGAAAGGAGGGAAAAGGTCAAGGAGAGATTGCAGTGAAGGTATTGACCATGTTGCGCGGGGTAGAGTAAGGGATGCTGCAACGATGACTCTTGGTAGCCAGGTGGCGAATAGCGAACGACGTATGGAGGGTAAAAGGGACTGTGTCCGGTGAAGAGCAAGGGATGCCATGGCTCTGAACGTTGTGAGCGGAAGGGCAAGAAATTAAAAATTGACACTCCGACGCGCCTGTCCATCTCAACACTAACATCGCACTTTCGTCCAGTCGTCCCATGTTCCGCTTAACGCGCCCTCTGCTTCAAGCCTTGAAGCAAACAACCGGCATCCATGGGCTCAATGTCCACTCGAATCCCTTGCCAGAACTGGTGAAGACATACGAATCAACTCTCACCACACTCTCAGCTATCCCGCAAACCTCCGTCTATCGTCAAGGCGTCGAGGCGCTCGTACGACACAAACTCAACATTGTCAACAACGCCAATGGAGATATCTCTGAGGCAGAAGCGCAGCTGAAGGAGGGGCACATTGAGGAGGCGTTGGATATTGCTGCTGACGAGCTATCACTTGCTGCTAAAATGGTGGAATGGAAGGCGTAAGTTGGACTTGAGTATGTTGTCTACGCGTGTATCTCACGAATGATATCTAGCTGGGAGCCATTAGAGGAGAAGCCAGAACCCGGGCAATGGGAATACGCAGGAGTGGCCAACTCTTCATGACCATGTTGTAATTTATGCTATATAACTTCAATTCCTCCAATATGTTACAACATAATTATTACTGAGATGGAAACAAAACAAGACTGAGTGTATGATCGCAGATTACAATGATCAAATATCCAAGAAAAAAAAAAAGTTCGCTGGAAGCAGGATTTGAACCTACGCGGTGAAACACCAAGTGATGAGTTTGCAAGTTCAAATCACTCGCCTTAACGACTCGGCCATTCCAGCTACAAACAACGCGCCTAAACGAGTCATGAGACTGATGTACGCCAACTCGGAGGCTATAGCAGTGAATTTGTTCGAATCCCATTCTTCTTGCTCCTAGATCTACTATACATAAAGTTCTTTGCCGCCGCCGCCGCCTTCAAGGTTCCCGCTGCCTAGAGCAGCTTTCCGCTTTGTTATTAACTCATGGACTCGTTAATCCCCTTCACCACTTCAGGCTCCCTGGTGGATTGTGTAGACAGTACGTCTGCCCAAAGTCATCGCACTTGTCCAGTTCACGTCCTGAGCATCTCTCTCTCTCATCCTTCCATTCCTGCTGTTGTCCCCTCAACATGAACTTGCACCTCTTTTCATGCCAACCAAAATGCTTGCATTCTGCCCAGGAAAGATGCTTGTAATTCTACGCGACGGCAGGAAACTACACGGAGTCCTACGTTCATATGATCAGTTTGGTGAGCAAGTCGGTCTTGACCCTTTTCCTTGGGTGTATTTTTCGTGTGCTGATTGGGCCCCGTTATAGCCAACCTTGTGCTCGAGGACACTGTCGAGCGAATATACCACGGAAATGCCTTTGCGGAAAGTTGGCATGGCCTATTCCTAATACGGGGAGAAAACGTGGTCTTGCTTGGTGAAATCGTTCGTGCAAGTCAAAACACATCCAAAGCTGAGAACTGAATCGCTCTTCTCATCAGGACCTGGATCGGGAAGACGAAATCCCACTGAAACAGGTCGATTATAACATTCTCATCAACTATCACAAGCAAGAAGCGGAGACCAAAAAGGAACGGGAAGAAGCCAAATCACAAATTCTATACGAGCAGAAAGGATTTTGTAAAGAGGGTGGAGAAGGTGACGGCTACTGAGGTACTGACCCCTTCTTTCCTCTCTTCCCCATCCGAGACTTGTCAAAACCCTTTTGGCAAATGTATTCCATCAGTTCGTGATCATTACCGTATTATGGCACGTCCTTATCATCACTTGGGTCGGACCACCAATCAAGGGTTCTTTTAACTACGCTAGGATGAAGAACTGCCCATGATTGTAAAATATATCATCTATACACAACAAGTTATCACTTGCAATTTGAAACCGGAAGAGAGCCAAAAATAAAAACTACATAGCACGACCTGTACAATCTGGATTGTGGGGAATGTAAGCGGGAATGACAGCAAACAAGATGCATGAAAGAAAGAGTAAGGAAAGTGGAAACGAAATCAAAAGGGGAACAATAACATAGGACGACAAGAGGTTATCTCTTACAATAGTGTACTTGCTAGAATTCATATTTACAAATTTTTGCATTGCGGTCAAAAATCAATGATTCGTCATGGCGGAGGAACAAACAAACGAGTGCAGAAAAAGAAAAAGAAAGTCAAGAGGCAGGGGCCTTGCGTTTCTTTCCCTTCTTCAACGCTTCCCCATTAGCAGCAGTTCCTTTAGACTTGGGATGGCCGTTGACGACCTTCGTATTGGATGCCTTGAGAGGCGCATTGGAATTCGTGTCCTTGACAAGAGCAGTCTTGCTCTTGGTGTTCTGTGGGTCGAGCATATCTTCAATGCGTTTGCGAATCTCGCGTTCGCGGGTGGTGAGCTTCGCCAATGCCTCTTCCTTCTTCTCCTTTTCCTTGGCCACATCCTTCAATCGCACGGACTGCCATCTAACAACATCATTAGTACTTGAGGGACTTGGCAGCAGCAAAGTTGAAATGTACCCTGCATGCCGATCGCAAACTTTATCCCCAGGACACCACCAATGCTCCTCCGCGCCATCAACTTCCATCTCACCTTCCGCGCATTCCTCTTTCAGAACACCGTCCGGTTTGATAGCATTCTCATAGCTCTCCAACACCACATCGCCCATCTCTTCCCACTCTTCATCATCCAGGCAAAGCCGTTGATCCCATCCGCAGTGTCCGACGGCCTCTGCGCGCTGGCTAGCAAGCTGCAGCAGTCGCTCGCGCCATACAACGACTTCCATCCCGTGTTTGAGCTCCTCGCGAAGCTTGATCACTGAATCCAGCAACATATCAAGACGTTCAGTCTCTTGTTCGATTTTGGTCTTTTTAGCAGGGACGATATGCTGCGTGATGGGCTTCAGGTCGACGGCATCTTCGCCGTCTTCCTCCTCCTGCTTTGCCACCCCGTTCGCCTCGGGTTCGACAGCACAGACGACCACACCGTCCCGCTTCTCGGCGTTCTTCACGCTCTCCCACAATTTTTCTGGTTTGCCTCCCTTTTTCGCCCAAGAATCGATACGCGATTGCATGTACTTGACACCACATTCATCTGAACAGTACTTGGAAAAAGCACCACGCGCTGCCTTGTGGCATGCTCTAGTGGAGTCTGGATCTGGATGGCGCAATCCATACAGACAGCGTTGCTTGTAGGTCGTCATGAGGTTCAATTGTGGATTTTCTTCATCCGGCGGTAAAGTCAGTGGCAGTGAGAATAAAATGTGAGTGGTACGTACTCTCAACACACAACGGGCAGATAAATTGGTCCACGAGATCAACCTCCAAATCGGGCATATGGACACACTGCGTGTGATACCACTCATCGCACCTTAAGATAGAGAAGAGGATGAGATAATAAAAGCACCCCAATCAAGTCTGCCACACCTGTCACATGCAATCATAAACCGGTCCTCGTCGTACTTTGTCTTACAGACGCAGTACAACTTGTCATCCTCCTTCTCGGGCTCGGATTCCTCCTCCTCCTCTTGTTTTTCAGCCTTGACAGCCTCAGTTTCGGGTCCTGCGGATGCACTACGGCCAGGCATGACGGATGTCGAGCGCGATCGCGACACTGACGGTACTGTCTTCTTACTGGGTAGAGCCTTGAATGGTTTAACAGGCGCGACAGCGGGAGTAGCATTCTCAATAGCAATGGTCTTCTTCCCTTTGGCGGCAGCAGGCTTTGCCCGAGGCTTGGCAGCAGAGGCGGCGGCAGTCGTAGTCTTGGCTTTGGCCTAGGAGACGGTCAACACTTTATCAATGGACACACAAAGATCGCATACCTTTGACGCGGGCTCTTTCTTCTTCTTGGCGCTGGGTCCAGCGGGCGCAACGCTTCCGGCACGTTCAGCGCCCTTCTTGGCAGCCGCACTGATATTTGTGGAAGCAGGAGGCGGCATGGAGCCCCTTTCGGGAGTAGGCCGAGCAGAGGATTGTCGAACGAGAGAGACTGCCGAAACAGGCGCGGCAGATGCAGGCATAGAGGGTGGGGAGGGTTCCTGCCGCGCTTCGCTGACGGAACGGTGTACAGGTGGAGCTGGCTTGATGGAGGGGACGGATGGAGGTGGGGCGTGCGCGTGAGACACCGACGCAGATGCAGAACCCGGCGCACGCCGAGGAGGGGCGGGAGGTGGCGGACGATCATCAACCAAGCTGAGCAGCTCGTCTTCGACGTCGACTTCCATGCCTACCGATTCGTGCTTCGGGCTGTCTTCCTCCAGAGTGTCGACCAGCTCGGTCACGGCCAGATCAACGTCAAGGTCCATGTCGAGGTCTTGTTTCTTGGCGATGGCTGTGGAGGTATGAGTGGGATCTGAAACAAGTTCTTCCAGTTCCTGTTCCAGGGTGGGGACAGGTGGCGGAATAGGGGTGAGAGGTTTACGTGGCGGTGGACTTTTTGCAGAAGGGGGAGGGGCAACGGTGATGACGGGGCTGGGCGAAGGGGACGGAGAATGCGGTGGTTCGGGGCGAGCAGACGTAGTGGGAGAAGGATCTTGGTCAAATTGCTGTAGAAACCATTCGTGAGCATCTTCTTGCTGAGGCTTGGGGAGCTGAACTTTGGGTGGCGGGGGCACTTCCTTCGGCTTCTTCGGGCGGGGCTCTTCTATGGTAGTTGAACGAGTGTCATCGAAGCGAGTAGGCTTGGATTCTGGCTTGATTTTGGGTTCCTCTTTGAGTTTTTTGACCTCGGGTTCTGCTGGGAGGGGAGGTGGCTCCCTTAGTAAGTGATCATCGGATTTGCGGGCAGCCTTTGCCCTGCCGATCTGACTGCCCGGGGGGACCTCCTCCCTAGGGGACTGACGACATGATGGTGATGGGAGTGGTGATTGGGATGGCTATCAACCTCGTGAGGACGGACGGGCTCCTTGTCTATGAGGAGGTCGGAGACGGCGACAGGCTTCCTGGAGTGACCGTGGCCGGAGCCAGGCCGCCTCGGGGGATGAGAGGGACCTGGGGCTGCGGGGGAATCAACGCGGCCGTAGCCGAGCTCGCCGACGAGCATCTTGTCCCGTTCGCGGGCGATGCGCTCCTTATCATCGGGAAAGGGGCGGGTGGGGGATTCTGAGAAACGACGCTTCTTGATAGGACGCGGATCTTCGCGGGATGGCTGGGGATAGGAGCGGGGAGAGGATGCGGGACGGTGATCTCGACGGGGTGGGAGATGAGGTGGGATATGGAGGGGGGTGGTGGGGGCGATGTGGGGGGTGGGGGAGCTCCTCGAGGGCGACGGGGTCCTGGTCGAGCAGCCTGGCTCGATCGAGGTCCCGCTGACGAAGGGGCTCGTTCTCGCGGATGCGGTCCTCAATGATGGGCTGCTGGCGGTCGTGCTCGTACTGGAGAGGCCTGTGCTCGTCGTCGACATCGGTCTGGGGGAGATGGTGATACGGGGCGGCATCGAGCCTCTTGCGCTCCTCGGTGGCAGCATGGACAAGGGCCTCGAGGGGCGAGTAGGTTGGAGGGGGAGCATCATCACACAAAAGAGACGAAATATCGAGACGGCGAGAGGCCATAATGGTTGGAGAGCAAGAGACACCACATCACATGTTGAGCAGTACAGATGACTAAGCTATGTACAACGAGACATTGCGGCAACGCCCACGCGGCGACCAACGAAGGGCCCTCCAAAAAGAACACACCGCACCCAAGTCCCATCGCTCCCTCTCCAGCCCGTCTACGGTCCCTCGGTCACAGACCCGCGCCAGTCTTTGCAGCGGGCGGGTCATCAGAGAGATGCTTTTATTAGGGCTGCACACACATCAGTCACTGCTT